TAAACTGCGTGACATTAAAAGTTTGATAATTGTTATCAATCCTCACCTGTCAAAAATCTTAATCACCTCTATGTCCATAAGTACATATATACAACAATCACTTCACTCTAAAAGTCTGTTGGGAAGCAATAGTGCAAGTGATCGTATCTTGATTGACAATTCAACGTCAAGTTTCTAAAAGGTTGGTAAATTATAAATAATTTAATAATTTTAAAATTTAAATAAATCATAATAAATAATAAATAAATTAAAATTAATGTATAATGTATTTAAATTAAAGTTTTGTTTTAAGTAAAATGTCTGCCTTTGACAACGAACGTGAACAAAACCCTCCAGAAGACGAACAGTACGATGAACAAGACAACAGTGGAGACTCCAATGAAGCACATTCAAGATCTCGTCGGGCTCTTATCGACACACCCACAGTTGAGTTTGATCAATAATTTATTTTGAAAAATTCAATCGTATATTCTCTCATTATTTAACGCATCGATAAAAACTAAACAACAATCAGTCCGGGGTTACGAGAGGATGTAATAAGTATTCAGAAATGGTGACGCAACTTTATGGGGAGGAAGAGCATTTTGGGTTGCCGACTTTACAAAAAAATTAAACAAATTCAAACTCAAGTTCAAGTATGATGAACAAACACCATAGGAATTCGATGTTTAAAGACCACGCCTAAAACTAATCTTTTTATTTCACACCAAACTGATAAACGATAATTAAGTATATAAGATGAAACACCTGCCGACAATCCATATCATTTCGAGCGCGTTACTTCCAACGACCACATTACATAACCTTCAAAACTACTCAAACATGGCTGAGAATAATCAAACTGATGGTTCACTTAATGAAAATAATTCGCAAACAGAAAGTACATCTGAAGACCAAAATGAAAGTGATGAAACCAATGAATTAAATGAAGATGAAAATAGTCAGGATAGTACCAAAGAAGAAACATGTCCACAAAATCAAGATGAAGAAAAAATGGTTAAAAGAAGAACACGCAGAGCGATTATAGACGCGCCGGAAATGATATTTGATTGATTTTTGAATTTTATATATTTCATAATCTAACAGCGCTGATACTTTTACATTTATAAAACAAGAATTAACGAGAATATACGTAAGTTATTACTTTTGTAAAGTAAAATCATATTTTGCGTTTGTTGCTTTTATTTCAAACCTTAATTGGTACTATAAATGCCTATATTAATATGTTTGTTTGTTTGTTACACTTTCTCGCAAGTATTACTGAACCAATTTTAATGAAACTTTTCAATATTGTAGCTTATAATCAAAATAGGATATAGTTCACTTTTTGTCACA